TCTGGGGCCCCGGGGTGCGGCGCTGCGGGCAACCACCAGGTGGCACCATCGACTCCCGGCCTGACCCTCCGCTGGGTAGCCTGGCCCCCACCCCATGCCCCAGACACCCCACTGCCCGGGCGAGGGTGCAGCCCGCGCACCTTCTGCAGCCGTTCCATGCAGCAGGGAGCTGGCTGGTCCGATCACTCGCCGAGCCCTGTGCGCAAGGGGGTACGACAGGCGTCAGGCGCTGCCCGGCTCCTGGGCGCTGCGCGCGCGGGGCCACGAGAGCAGAAACGGCGTTCCACTGGGCTGTGGCGCCCTCATCCCTCGGGGACTCTCCAGGCTGCTGGCTGGGTGCAGGGCCTGGAAGGGGAGGGAGGACGTGCCAGCGAGGGCTGGGCCCCCGGATCTCAGAGGGCGGGGGCAGCCCCCTCTCGCTCCGCTCGGGCTCCCGAGAGCAGGGCGGAAGGGCGCCGGGGCCCTCCTGGGCTCTGCTTTCCATTCGCTCAGACCGTGGAAAGCCAGCGCGCGTGTGGACCGCGAGGCGGGAAAGTGGAAGGGCTGCACTTGTTTTTGAGCCATTGTTCTCTGGCTGGAAAGGAAATGACGGCAGGGGTCAGGCGTTCCCGCGCCGCCTCTACATCCCTGCCTTGTCACACCTGCCTTGCCCTGGGGCTGCAGTCCGGTTTCAGGCCCAGGTTCTCACTCCCCTCCGCCTCTGCCAAGCCTTTCTCCCTGGCTGTGTGCCGGCCCCTCCTCCCACTCCCCATCAGTCTACCCCTGCTGTGCCACCTCTCCCTCACAGTACAGGAAGGTTTAACACAGGGGGACTTAGAACAGCTATGAGGAGGACACACCGGGAAGAGAGGATGGGAACAAAGTCAGCTCCGCGTGAAGTGATCCGGTCATTGGCTAGGAGCTGTCCCTCTGCCCTCGGTTCCACCTGAGGTGAAGAGGGAGGGGAGGCTGGAGGGAGCTCGCATCCCCCATTTCCCTGTGGCTGTCCCCTGTGCAGCAGTGAGTCTCACTCCAGGCATCTGGGAAAGCACGGTTGTGGCCAAGGCCACAGCTCCCCAGTCTCCTCAAAACCCACATTGAGGTTGCCCTCTGGTGTGCCGCCTCGCCACAAGTCAGCGCCTCCGGCTCAGCAGGAGGGCATCCTGGGCGGCACTGCTCTCTTTCTGTTCCTAGGGAGTTGGGTGCTGCCTGCTGCAGTAGATTATTAGTCCCCTGGGGCCACAGCGCACATCTTCTCCTTTGTCAGTAACTCCTAGCAATCCTCCCATGCTCCCCTCCACACTGCTGCACTGGACACATTCTAACCACTCAAGGAACGTCTGGCTGAGTTTCCAGTGTGATGGTGGCAGAGACTGTCTTTCCATTCCCTGGCAATAAGCCACAGAGTGAAGAGAGCTGATGGCTACACAAGGTACAGGGAACAGGCCGCATAATGCAGCGATTGAGAGCATGGGCTGGACAGGGGTGCCTGCGTGTGAGCACAGACTGCTACTCAGAAGCTCTGTGACCTTGAGCAAATTACTTACCGTCTCTGTGCCTCACGTTGCTCATCTGTAAAATGGAGGATATTAATAGTATGTGTGTCATAGGATTGCTCTGAGTATCAGATAAGTTATATATAGCATGTGAAGTGCTTAAAACATTATAAATTCTATGTAGAATGTTAGCTATTATTATTTCTATCTCCCCAAGGACAGATGAACTTAGATGGTTTTTCTGTAGCCATTCTTTGCGACAGAGGGTCATGAAAGACTGAGTCATTGGTGCTCCCGACCTTATCACCTAGTACTTTGCATCAGGCCATTCTTCTGCTCACTGTCTCTCCACCATTAAAACCACCGGCTTGGGGCCGGCCCGGTGGTGCAAGCGGTTAAGTGCGTGCGCTCCGCTGCGGCGGCCCAGGTTCGCCGGTTCGGATCTTGGGCGCGCAACGACGCACTGCTTGGCAAGCCATGCTGTGGCGGCGTCCCATGTAAAGTGGAGGAAGATGGGCACGGATGTTAGCCCAGGGCCAGTCTTCCTCAGCAAAAAAAGAGGAGGATTGGCAGATGTTAGCACAGGGCTGATCTCCTCACAAAAAACAAAACAAAACAAAACAAACCCACCGGCTTGCTGCCCCAGCCACACTCGCTCTCGCTTCCCTGCCTGTGCACATGCTCTTCCACTCTTCTCTCCCACCCCCTTGTCCCCCAGATGCCTCCCATCCTTCTAGACCCATCCTAAGCCCCTCTGGGAGGCTTCCCCCACCATTCTAGGACTCACTGATAAGTGAGTCTCTGAATTCCAGTGACACTTAAAAAGAGAACTCACCCCTTAATTATATGTTGCCTGACGTGGGAACATGTTTTTCACTAACTAGAATGACTGCTAACTTCTGGAGGGCAAAAACAATAATAATAGCTATCTTTTTTGTTTGCAAAAAGCTGGGAAAGATTCTCTCTGAGCTAACATCTGTTGCCAATCTTCCTCTCCTCTTTTTTTTCTCTCCAAAGCCCCAGTACATAGGTGTATATTCTAGTTGTAGGGCTTTCTAGTTCCTCTTTGTGAGCCGCTGCCACAGCATGGCTACTGAAAGACAAATGGTGTAGTTCTGCACCCAGGAACGAAACCTGGGCCGCCAAAGCGGAGCGCACCAAACTTTAACCACTAGGCCATCAGGGCTGGCTCTAGCTATCATTTTTTGAATGCTCATGCTAGGTACTTTGATAAGCACCTTACACGGATTATTTTGTTTTATCCCTAAAACAATCCTATAAGGTAGACCCATTTTACAGATGAGGAAACTGAGGTCCAGAGAGATTAAAAATTTGTCCAGAGCCGTGGAGCTGAAAATGACTGTGTTTTCACAGTGCCTACCTAGTACTATGTCAGGTGCATCATGGGGATAGACTAGAATCTGGCACATTTCTCAAGGCTTTTTGGAATTCTAGAGCCAAGACAAGACCCTGGCCATCAGAGTCACAGTAGGTATTTGGTGCCCATGGAAAGGCTCCATTTCAGAGTTTCATGCTTCTCTTGCCCTTAGCACTCACTTTGTAATGCTTTTAACTGGGTGTCTGAGGATCAGTAAACTCTAGCACATATTCAAAGAGCTGTTAGCTCCCTCTCACTCCTCTCTGATCTTACTTTGTTAACAGTCCCTGTCAAACTAGCTATACACCTGGCTTTGCCCTAGAGGCAAACACTCATCCACTCATCCATCCATCCATCCACCCACCCATCCATCCTTCCACCTACCCACCCACACACACACACACACACACACATCCACCTGTCCACGCAGTCATGTATTGTTTTATCCCTCCATTCATCAAATACTTCCTGAGCGCCTATTCTGCAATGACCACAGAGCAACACTCTGTGATAAGTCTTATGGAGAACAGAAAGAGGAGTCAAAGGAGCTATGCTGCCCTTCCAGAAACGAGGCATGTATATAGATAACTCCCATGCCAAGCAGAAAATTATGTGTGCCAGATAAGATAGTACAAGGGCTATAAGAGGTTACAGGAGAGAGGGATCACTGCTGCTGGGGTGTCAAGAGGAGAAAACATAAAAGGTTTCTTAGAGGAGGAGGTATTTGAGTTAGGTCTTGAAGGATGCCCAGTTTAAGATCATGCAAAAACTGAAAAAGGGAATCTTGAAAGAGAAAGCAGCATGAGGGAAAGTGGGGACATGGGGCAGCTTGGGGTCTGTCTGGGGAGCAGCAAATATGGCTGAATCATGGAGCTCAGGAAGTTGAGATGTGTTTGGGGCAGGAGGTTGGGGGCCAGATGGTGGAGGCCTTGAATGCAGACCAAGGGATTTAGATGGTATTCTGTGGGCAAAGGGGACCATGGAATGCTTAGAAATTGTTTTTAAGCAAAGAAGTGACAGATCCAAGCAGTGCTTCAGGAAAATGAATCTGGCTATAGCCTGGGAGATGTAGTGGACAGGATGAGGCAGTCCACAGGGGACCAGCAAGAAGTGTGGCAGTTCAGACAGGGACGGTGAGAGTCAAGACTTGGGCACAGCCGGAAAATGGGAAGGGGGCAAATGCAAGAAATTCTAGGGGCAGAATGTGCAAAACAGAACTTGATCTGAGAGCCTGCAGGGGAGCGGCAGGTTGCAAGCCCAAGAGACAGAAGGGGAAGACGAGTTCACTTTTCGCCAGGTTGAGGTTGAGGGGGCGCAGTAGGTGAAAAAGTGAGAATGTCCAGGAGGAAGAGGAGTTGGCGCAGGGGCAGGCTGGAAATAGAGATTTGGGAGCCATTTGAGCTGGAGGTGGTCGTCTGCACGGGAGATCGCCACAGGAGAAAGAAGGTCAAAAACAGCACCCTGGGAAACTTCTAGGGGACTAGAAGAAAGAAATTGCCAGAGATGGCATGAAAGGGAGGAGAACTTGATGGCCCCAGATCCTTGAGGGCTGGGAGTGTATCTAGTGATTCTTTGTATTTTCAGCAAAGGGCTTGATGCACACTTAAGTGTGCAATAAATGTTGAGAGAAAGGGAGGGAGGGAAGGAGGGGCTGAGAAAGAAGGTCATGAAGCCAAGAGTCCATCGCTCAGAGAAGGCAAGAAGAGCCGAAAGGAGCCGCCGTGGGTGTCAAGGCCTGGCGGCCTGGGAGAGCAGTTTTTAGAGGAAGAGTGAGGCCTCCTTGTTAGGGATTACAGGGGCACACAGGCAGGGGAGGAGCACGCCCAGAAGTGTGACGGGAGGGCCTGAGGGGGCCAGGAGGGTAGCTTTGGAGGCGAGATTGGCTGAGGGCATTAAGGAAAGGGGGATTTGAACATGTTTGTAGGCAGTGGGAGAGGGAGGAGTAGAGGGGGAGACTGTGGTTGCTGGAGCCAGGTCCCGGCGGTCCAGGCCCAAGTGGAGGACTGGCTTTGGAAAAAAAGCGTGGGCTTCCCAGAAAGGAAAGGAAAGAGAAAGAAGTTGGGTAACCACTCACAGGCATTTAGAGGGGCCAGTGCCAATTGGGAGGCTTCTGTTTCCCAGGGAAAACAAGAGAGAAGGTCCCAGGCAGATCTTGGGGGCCGGGGCAGGGGGGCCAAGGAGGTTAGGCAGAGGTTGAAGAGAGTAAGGAAAGGTCTGGAAGGTCCCGGTAGGGAGGTGGATGGCTGAGCTGGCCAGGGAGAATGGAGAGCTTCCCTGTGTTCTGGAGCCTCGGGCCGAGCCTGGGGGTGGCCCTGACGCCCTCTCCTTGAACACCAGAGAGGAACACCAGAGAGGAGCGTGGTACAGAGTGGGGAAATGACTGTCTATCAGAGTGGTAACTGCCCAGGCGTGGGGGAGTCCAAGATGAGCCATGTCAGGTGTGCACAGTCAGGCACTGTGGCCCACACCCATACGCGCACAAACACTGTCCC